AGTACATATATATATATATATAGATATATATATATATATATATAATATATATATATATACATAGGCGTAGGAGCCAGGGGGGCTGGGGGGGGGGGGGGGAGATGCAAGCGGGGGTGGGGGGGAGTCCTCCGCTTTTTATTCAGGATCTGTACATTCATATTCATACCGTATACATATATACATACACACACAAGTACATATATATATATATATATATAGATATATATATATATATATATATATATAGATATATATATATATAGAGAGAGAGAGAGAGAGAGAGAGAGAGAGAGAGAGAGAGAGAGAGAGAGAGAGAGAGAGAGAGAGAGAGAGAGAGAGAGAGAGAGAGAGAGAGAGAGAGATATATATATATATATATATATATATATATATATATATATATATATATATATATATATATATATATATATATATATATATATATATATATATATATATATATATATATATATATATATATATATATATATATATATATATATATATATATATATATATATATATATATATATATATATATATATATATATATATATATATATATATATATATATATATATATATATATATATATATATATATATATATATATATATATATATATATATATATATATATATATATATATATATATATATATATATATATATATATATATATATATATATATATATATATATATATATATATATATATATATATATATATATATATATATATATATATATATATATATATATATATATATATATATATATATATATATATATATATATATATATATATATATATATATATATATATATATATATATATATATATATATATATATATATATATATATATATATATATATATATATATATATATATATATATATATATATATATATATATATATATATATATATATATATATATATATATATATATATATATATATATATATATATATATATATATATATATATATATATATATATATATATATATATATATATATATATATATATATATATATATATATATATATATATATATATATATATATATATATATATATATATATATATATATATATATATATATATATATATATATATATATATATATATATATATATATATATATATATATATATATATATATATATATATATATATATATATATATATATATATATATATATATATATATATATATATATATATATATATATATATATATATATATATATATATATATATATATATATATATATATATATATATATATATATATATATATATATATATATATATATATATATATATATATATATATATATATATATATATATATATATATATATATATATATATATATATATATATATATATATATATATATATATATATATATATATATATATATATATATATATATATATATATATATATATATATATATATATATATATATATATATATATATATATATATATATATATATATATATATATATATATATATATATATATATATATATATATATATATATATATATATATATATATATATATATATATATATATGGGCCTGTGGAAGCGTGGGTTGTGAATTGTGTGTGTGTGTTAGGGTTGGTTATTGAAGTCGGTTTGTTGCTTATGGAAATGTTTGCAATGTTTGGGGTTATGAAGTGTTTGTGTAGTTGTAGGGCGAGTGTTTTATATGGTTTTAAATTGTTGCTCACGTGAGTTCATTTCTAATCCTCATATCCACTGAAAACATGCATATAAAAGTAATTACTTCAATCGAATCTAAGAGATAGTGTTTAGCAATTTTGTTAAAGATAACACTCGTTTTATATAGTTTTTCTAATCGATTAATTGCGTTTACGGTTTCGTTTTCATGTCAGTAATTTCGGTTAGATTACACCCCCCTTCGAGTCTATCACGTGAGTCAACAGGTGATCCACGAAAATAGCTGTCTTTGTTTATATCCACGTCATACCTTTTACCCAACAATTGATAATTTGTAGGTTCATTCATCAAAATCAAATTGGAAATGTTGACATTCCTTGCTGGACCAGACGTTTCACAAGTTCATTGGCATTGCAAATACATTTCGTGTGTTGTGACGATATTCATTCTCATTCATACCTTTTCTACATTTGTTGTAATGAATACGGCTCGTCATTACAGGAATATCGAACACAGCTTTCTGCATAGCTAATCAAGTTTGTATTTTTTTCAGTTTCTGTGAGTTGTGATTAATTTCATTCATGACTACCAACGCTGTTATCTCAACAAGGACGATAATGTTTATGTATATTCCTGTATACAATTTGAATATGGAATAATTTCCGTACCTATGTAAGTAAGAAAAATCCCACAGAAAGTATAACGTTTTTAAAGAAAATCGTAGTTGATTTTAAAGGTGTAAAAGCGTTCGAAGTAATCACGAACATGAAGGTTAATATGATCTGAAAGTTCATTATTTTCAGATCTATTCGGTTTCCACTGGTTACTGTATTTTGGGATAAACAGTCTCACGTAAATATTATTTCTAAAATGTTATAATATCTCACATATTTCGTTTTTGTATACGACTGAGAAAAATAATAGATTATTATGCAGTGGCAACACAATTAAAGGCGGGAAACTGAAACGTCTGATCCAGTGACGTGCCTTCCTCCTCACCCTAAAAAAGAAAGGAAATAAACGACACATTTTAAAAAATAAATCATCTACACTACTAGTACTGATAATAATAGTTTTACTAGTAATAATCACTGTATAAATAAAGGTATGAGCGTCCGAAGTGTCCTCCGACCAGTTACACTTAAATATGTTCAGTATATGTTTCGTTCATTTAAACTTTCCTTTATAACATAAGTTTACTTTAACAAATCAATTAATAAACATTTTTTTAGAGAAAAAGAAAAATAATTACGACAACAGCAATAAAAGATTATGATTATAATGACCACCATGATTATGATCATGAATGTGATAATGATTATGCCATTATTACTCTTATTACAAGCATCAGCATCAGCAGCTTTAACATTTATCAGAATGATAATATGAAAGAATAATGATAAAATCACGAAGTAATAATATTAGAAATAACAATAATAATGGAAATGATAAGTGATAATATGACTAATTTCATTCTCGTCATAATCATCATCGCTATAATTATCATTATAATTACTATTGATATAGTTTTGTTGTTATCATCATCATCGACAATATTCTCAAATTTATTATCTACTTTATAGTTGCCGTCAAGTTACCGAAGCGACTCCCAGTCTACGCGGGATTCTGACCGACTCCGACCGGCTCGCATCCACCAATCACAGACAAGCTTTTTGTTCACCCCGTTATCAGACCTGAGTGAACAGACTATAGTTACTGTGATGACGATGTCGCTTATTATGAATATTGTTATATTTCCATACCAAGTCCCGGATGTGTACGTATTAAGACAATATAATCCTTTTCCCACAAAAAAAAAACTGAATTACCTGTTGATGTGTTCAAGACACCGAGAGATAAACGCCACAGTATTTTTTTTTTCTTTGTAACATCCAATAGCTGTTTAAGAAGCTTTCCTATCCTTGTTAAAATCAAACAATGAAAGAAAAGCAAAAACTGACAAATAAGGATCTGTTTCCAAGTCTGCGAATTTGAAAAAAAAAATCTGAGTATTGTAATTTCATCCATAATCAAATATAATTCCGCTTATCACCCAGTAAAGACAACAGACAAATTAGTTCTTTTCTCAATTATCTAAACACAAAAGCAGTTCAGCAATCACTTTTAACTGTGTAAGCCCAGCCTGATTTGTACAATATGGTACTTCATTAAGTGTTATTATTTTGTTCATCATGGGCCTGGATTATTTACACATGCTAACATTTCATCCAATGTAACCAGTCATTAAACTATACTTTTGATTTATACTGGAGTAGCATTTTTTTGGAATAAACTTCTCATAGCTTCCTGTAAGTTGGATTCTTCATAGTGGTTACTGTTCTCTCACCTGCATTATGCTTATGAATTCCACACTTTCTTTCCTTTTTGCCATTTTACACACGTAAAACAAACCTTACACATTTCAACCATCTTCAAAAAATGTTTGAATTGTACAGTAAATTCTATCAATATCACTTAACTTTATCCAGATGGAAATTGTTATTCAAAAGAATGAGACATGAATATGGAACCATTTTATATGGCTTCGCAGATTTAACCAGAAGCTAATCTGTAAGGAAAGAGACACGCAGAAAAGACAGAGAAAGTAGCATAGATTCCACTCCTAAATGATGTATGCATTAGTCAAATTCAATGTCTCTCCTACATCTCCAAAATCTTTCCCTGCTACACAATTTATCTATGGTGTTATTAGTTACATTATTAGTACATTTACTATTCATCTGTAAAAAGGACATCTAAATGGAATTTATTCATTATTATAAAAAAATGGAACATGTAATGTGGAACACATTTCGTTGGATTCCATGCATTTTCCTAGAACCCATTTTCAAAGGAAAGAAACCCATAGACTAGTTGGAGAAAGTGTGAATTCTATTCCTAGATGATGTACGTGACAGTTAAAATCTGTCTCTTCTTCATCTCCAAACCTTCACCTGCTACTCAATTCATCTATATTGTTATCGGTTCAAATGCTTTTACTGTCCATCTGTAAAAAATGACATTCTAATGGATCAAACCAGACATATGTACATCAGTTCCAAGGGACATTATCCAAACATGCACTAGCAGTTACACAGTTATCTTCAATAGCATGAATTCATCCTCACAGAAATCAAAAGTGGAGATCTCCTTCAAACAAAACAAAGAATATTAATGAACAGTAATAACTGTAAATAATAATAATAATAATACTGGTCTTAATCATAAAAAAATAATAGTAATAATAATAATAATAATGAGGAGGGTTGTAAAACAATAGGATAAAAAAAATAAATATATAAATTCCCTAAAGTATTTTATTAGCCGATCCATACAGGTCTTCAAGAACACCCTAGAGAAAACAATAGTACACTGGCGGCTGGCTTGGGCTGGGGACTTTCATTTGGAGACAAACAGTATTTCCTATTTGAAGATTTGGATTTTCTGATTTCAGAATTACAACTATTTAATGATATTCATAAAATATCTAAAGCATTTTTATACAAGAGGGCAAATGATGAGATTACGAATCAACAAAGAGCTGCTTAAAGCCCGTTGGTACTTACAAATTAACGTTAACTGGCTGCCTCACACTACAAATCTTTTTTTTTTTACTTTATAGAAAAGTGAGTTCCAATGTAAGTAGAAAAAATCATTACAAAAAAAATAAAGATAAAATAAAAAAATACAAATTAATTTTCCAGTTCTGAAAAGAACTTACTTTACTTCCACTAGGGACTGACCTACATTTTAAGTTCGATACGATTTACACAAAATGATACATTAGTAAAAAAGTACAATAAAAATAAATAATTCTTCAGACTTTTTATATGTCACAAGTTCCAAAATTGGAAAGTTGTTGTTATTCCCATTTTTTCTATTCATTTATTTTACTTGTTTCTTTTTCCTAAATATTGCCAAGGCAATGGACCAGGATCATCCATTACTTTATAATCCCTACCTCATAATCTTGACAGAATGCATATTTTATCGTCATTTGAAGTTCACATGTGCCAGGAGTCAAGTGCTGGCAAAAGCATAGTAGATTATTTCCACCATAAAAAAATATGGAATAGATGCAGATCCATGTCTAAGTCTCTTGTGTAATCCACGATGCGTCCACCACTCCACGCACACAGACTCCTCGACTTACAAGTCCAAACCTTGACTGGAGGTTTTTACCTAAAATGGAAGTGCAAACTGAGGTAATGTGCAGACACCTTGTAGTCAAGACGAGCCAATAATTCATCCAAGTACATCATTTCCTCGCGCAAATACTTGTACCCTGTCCATAGGAACAGGAACATAAAATACCCAATAAGGCACAGATAACATGCTACAGTTTGGCAAAAATTAACCACACTCGGGGATTAACCGTATCAAAACAACAGGCAGCCCACCTAGGTCAGCCAAGCCATGAGAGGCCCTGTGAGTTTGCCGATCCTATTTTTTTTCCTTTTTTTTTTTATTTATTTATCTGAACCCTGATTGGCACTCAGCGTTGAGCACAAAGACCGGTACAGACCTGGGACCCCAAGGCATGGAACCTTGAGAATCCCCCAGGAGGGCCATCAGAATCAGGAGGGACTGGGCTTCCTCTTACCATCAACATTTTCTCTTCAACCCCCCCCACCCCCACCCTTTCCCTTCTAAATGGACTTTAAACATCACACAAACTTGAACATTTGACTTTTTTTTCTCCCCTCCCCCCTTTTAAAATCTATCCTTGTCCTGTTGCTGACTACCATTGCAAGACACCATGAGAGCTTTATAAATGTACCCTGACTTGCAACTATTTATCATCTAACAAAAAACAAAGAACAAAAAAATAATAATAATAATGATAATAATAATTAACAGCAATATATAGCGATCACAGTATCAGAGGAGAAAACGCATTATGGTAATGGAGAATATACATATCCATACACAATTCCACCCGCAGTCTTCCAGAAAATTATAAAAAAAAAAAAAAAATTAACAATAAAAATTTGCAATTGGAATTTTGGGCCATCACTGGCTCTCCTCTTGGGTGAAGTATCTGGCATTAGGCCCATCTCCATTCGTGCTGAGACAAAACCAGTCACTAGGAAAGCTATTCCCCGAATCCTGTTGCATGAGAACCCCTTACGATAATGGAATATCTCTCACAGCTGTCTGACAATCTTAGTTAAAAGAAAAGAATTAAAGAATCAATTAAACTAATCTGTAATTCATTTCTCAATTAAGATTTGAATTTTCATGAGGGCTATTTCTGCCACTGAGGTAACTATATATATATATATGGGACCTTTGCTGACAAACTGTTATACAAGAGCCCTTATGCATGTGCTGGAAAACTATGAACAAATAATCTTTTTATATATATTTACAGCTATTTGGGCAACAGTTGATGGCCTGAGAATATCACATTATTTTGTAAGTTGCATTACAGATAAAAAAGAACTAATGGAAAAATAAATTTTAATAATCTAATTGTGTAATAAAACTAACAAAAATGTGTTGGCTTGGGAGGCCCTGCATGCAGTTCAACCAATAAATATTTCATTCCATTAACACCCACATCTCGTAAGAGAATTCCCTAGTAAAAAAAAGAAAGATATTGCCGTTTTTCACCCTCTTTGAGTTTGGCAGCAGAGAATAAATTGGGAAAAGAAATATGTAAACCTGGATTACATCCACAGGCCTTGGCCTAAGGTAATACTACTGAAAAGTAAGCAATTTCTGGCATATAAAAACATTTGAAAAGAAAATTAATAAACAGATAAATTCTGAAAATATATAATCCTCCTTTGGATAATACCCTCCCCCCTCCCCATTGTATCTCCACCCCTTTAAAATCCCTTTTCCCTCTTTTCCCTTGCCATCTCCCCTCCCTTTGCCCTGAGCACCCACACAATGTGCCACCTTGTAATTAATGTTACCCAGGATTAGATGCTGGTAATAATATTCCAAAAAATTTATTACAATATAGAACAGAAAAAGCCTGATTGTCAGGCAACAATGTAAGAACCACATCCTCTCAGCAGTTCTTCGGGAGTGACTTGCGTCTCAACAAGGGAACTAAACAGAGCAGTGCAAGGCCTGGCCAATCAGACACCGTTGGTAAATTTGATGCTGCTGCCAATTCAAAGTGCTTTCTTTTGATGCGTGCTCCCACAGGTTGGGTGGTTGTGCCCTTCCGCTGCCGAGCCCTACGCAAATCCGAGTAGTCCCTGCAATTTACATGTAGTCATCCAGGTCAATGTCATTGAAGTCTTCTTCCAGGTCTGCCAGCTGCTGCAAGTCAACCTTGTAACGTAAGATCCCTGTAAGAAAGACAAAAAAAGAAAATTATTTATGAATTTATTAGGTAAGACTTGTTACCCAAATGAGAAAGATCATAAACCAAAACAAACCTTGTACATTTAACTTCATTGTCTTTTTTGTATGAAATTTTCAAAAATTATCTTACAATTTGCTTTAGACAGTTTAATACATATTCAAGCACACTAATGCACATTTGCTAGCACATGAATGCACATTTGCTAGCAAATATATGCACACATATGTAGACAAGCACCCATATTTGCACACATTCATATACACAAACACATATGCACACACGAATGCTTGCCTGCAAACAAGCACGCACACACGCACTCACCCACACCCACACTCCCATGAATGTACACAGTCATGCACAAAGACAAACACACACCCAGACAATAACAGATAAATATTTCAAAAGCATAACTGAGATTCAACAAACTAGTTATTATAAAAAATGCACACTTAAGTTAGCCGCAACTCTTGGTGTGTTAATAACATGCAGAAAGGTCCAGTTCCCATTCTAGCCGATATTTAAGCACAATTTATTATAGAGGACAAATCATCCCATTAGTCCAGGTTCGTGTAATATCCACTGTTCTCTTAACTGAATTTTGATGCACGCACATCATTCCATATGGCCCTATAAGACCAAATCAGATTTCTAATCTTTGAATTTTTGGAAAAATCTAATGCTAAAAATAATAATTTTGTTATTACTGACATTATGAATACTATACTGTTGAATCAAAATACTACTAACTATAATTGATTAAAGAATCTTCCCTAAAGCCTCATAAAAGGGATAACAGGTGAAATACGTATCGCTAACACTCAATTCCTTGGTCACTGAGCACCTAAGAAGCCATTTATATGTAACAAAATTAATAAAATAAAATTCCAGTGGACAAGGTATGTATGACATGCCATCTGCAACCAATGGGTTAACACATGACTACCGGATCAAGTGTATAGCTATGAGAACAAACCGCTTGATCTGCCAGATACAGCTATACAAGTGGTGACGCGCTAGTGTGCATTAAACGGGAAGTTCCACTACATGTAGTGGACTCCCGGTCAAAGCAGCAGGACAGTTGCTAGAAATCACCGGAGTCTATAACCCTGAGAGATTTCTAAAACCATCACTCATGAATTAAAGCTCTTAATGCTTTCCATATTTATGTGCTAATACAACAGATATATAAAATTTGGAACTTGAATGCAACTATTTATGGAAAGCTTATTGAATAAACTCACTAAGAAATATAGAATAACTCCCTTTCAATTGTGTACTGACTTGATTATTAACGGACCATAATTCTGTAATTCTCAGAATAAGAAAATTGCTAGAGCTACTAACAGAACTAATCAGTTCTAAAAACCGACATTACACACACGTTAACCCAATGCTGCAGGGAAAATGTAGTATTCACAGTAGTATCTGGTAAAATGTCTCAACACACAAATGGCTCCACAAGTGATTAGTCACCATGAAGGAGATGATTTGTAGACCTTATGGCCTTGCCTGATTTCACCTCTCTGAGTTGTCAGGATATTTTTTTTTTAACTAAAGCTATTATAATTGATACTTTTTTATTATCATAGACATTATAAGTATCTCTAACAGAAATCAAAGAAAAAGGGTAAACTGGTGAGATAGGTAGTACTAGTAATTGGCTCACTGCTAAAATATAGAAACTTCTTTTAATGAGATTATATATTACAAGAAACTATTCTACGCTTCTCAAAAATTCATGAAGTCAAATGAAGTTCAGTGGCAATTAAGATTTTGGCAAGCTGTTGATATTTATAAAGAATTCAGTACTGATGATTTTAGGAGCTGCATTCACCTGTACATCAGCAGAAATGGGTTTGGAGCCTCTCTACCAAATGAGATACATATTGGACTGCATTAAAATCAGTAAAGTAAATGTAAAAACATTAACTGTTGTAGTCAATACTTATAAGCTAATTATACAAATATACGGTTTTCATTCTTGCTGTTAAATAATATGGAGATAAAAGTACATTCACTCTTAATAATACAAATTAATGTTTTATCTTAAAAAAAGAGAAAACACACTGCAACACATGTTAATTTCAACTACATAAAATAAAAAACAAAACACAAATTTTCACACATCAAAAATAATAAAAATATTTAACAAATTCTGATATTAAAATATTAATCTATGAAGCTTCTCACTTCACCACAGAATGCTTTTTCTTAAGGTATAAAATGTTAGCGAAACTTTGAGCTAAATCTCCCCTCCTCCCAAATAAGCAGGAACAATAATTTCATTTTCAAGGTGTAGTTCGCCAGACAAGTCATAGATTGGGCAATCCACGTCACCTTAAAGGGAATATTGCGGAAAAAAGGGATAAAAACAAGGCATTCAAAACCCTCCTACAACTGACCCTACAAACGCTAAGGCAGGGATACTATTTAGATGTAATCATCAATATCAAGGTCCAGATCTCCCAACTCTTCCAAGTCCTCGAGACATTGGAGGTCCACCTTGTAGCGGAGGATGCCTACCAAAGTCAAAGTACAATATGAAATGACAATCATCACATTCAGTTTTCTCTCTTGATTTTTTAGGGGAGGGAACAACACTCATACAAATATCAACTGACTTGTAGAAGTATTTAAATTTCTGCACTCCCTTCTCCAAATTTTCTGGTTTTCTCAATAAAAAAACAAAAAATACCCTCATTTTCACATAAAAGGAATAGTGCAACTAATATATAAGGATTCTAGTGAACATTATATATAAATTGGAAAACCATTACCATTATATGTAAAATTTACTTTGAAGACTAGAATATTATACCTTATATGAGAAAAAGGCAATACATATATCTTTTCATTACCCCTAACTGTATGATATGGTAGAACTTAAATAATTTATTTCATATCAACTTTTCCAGTTAATACAAAACTCCAGTAATGTAGCCTAATCACTATCAATCTTTAATCAATCTATCATATTCCTGATATCAAAATGCATCATTCATCATTCACCATTTTCCATCACCAACACAAATCAAATGGAACAACACTTACCTCCTATGCCACCAAAACCTCGTACATACTGCGATCCTTCTTGTGATCGGTCTGTGATGATTTCCAAGGTGGATCCAAAGCTCTTGTAGTTGTTGGCAAGCCACTCTAGCAATGGCATAGAGTCCACTAACTCAAGTTCTACCCCAGTCTGCAACAGTCAAAATTTTGTAATTAATCAAATGATCAATACAGTATTTGCATTTACACAAACCTTTAAAAAAAATCTCAATTAACACTTATAAGTTGCATAATTCAATCTACTTACGGCTTTGTCGGTGAAGTGGGTCTTGTCTTTCTCCTGTTCAGGCGTAAGATGCATAATGGTCTCCTCACCTGTTTGATGGTTCTTCAGGATATATCTGGGGAAATGAAGGAAATAAACCAACATTAACATATAAAGAAACAATGTAGTGAATGTCAAAACAAACCCTAAGCTCAGCAGTCTCTTGACAAAACACCATAGTACTTACCTAACAATCTCAAGATTTTCCCAGCAAATAAGGATCTCGACTGCTCCACATTCCAAAGCTTTAAGTGTATCATCTACACCAAAACAGTATTTGCCAGTGTCTTGACTGATTTCTTCAAAGTACTTGCCTGAAAGATAATGAAAATATTAATTTACCTGAAAATCCCAGGGCTGTCAAAAGATTTTCATGTGTGTCAAAAAAACATTGTAAAAAGCTTAACAGAGAAACTTATGAGTTTGACTGGAATAAAAGGAAGAGGGAAAGGAGGAGAGGAAGAGGAAAAGGAGGAGGGAAGAGGAAAAGGAGGAGAGAAGAGGAAAAGGAGGAAGAGGAAGAGAGGAAGAGGAAAAGGAGGAAAAGGAGGAAGAGAAAGAGATGGAGAGGAAGAGGAAGAGATGGAGAGGAAGAGGAGGAGAGGAAGAGGAAGAGGAGGAGAGGAGAGAGAGGAGAGAGAAGAGAGATAGAGAGAGAAGAGAGATAGAGAGAGAAGAGAGATAGAGAGAGAAGAGAGATAGAGAGAAGAGAGAGATAGAGAGAGAAGAGAGATAGAGAGAAGAGAGAGAGGAGGAGAGGAGAGAGAGGAGAGAAGAGAGAGATAGAGAGAGAGAAGATAGAGAGAAGAGAGAGATAGAGAGAGAAGAGAGATAGAGAGAGAAGAGAGATAGAGAGAGAAGAGAGGAGAGAGAGGAGAGAGAAGAGAGATAGAGAGAAGAGAGAGGAGAGAGAAGAGAGATAGAGAGAAGAGAGAGAGGAGGAGAGGAGAAAAGGAAAGGAGGAGAGGAAGAGGAAGAGAGGAGAGGAAGAGGAAGAGGAGGAGAGGAGGAGAGGAGAGGAGGAGAAAAGGAAAGAAGAAGAGGAGAGGAGAGAGAGAGAAGATAGAGAGAAGAGAGAGGAGAGAGGAGAGAGAAGGGGGAGGAGGAGAAAAGGAAAGAAGAAGAGGAGGAGGAAGAGGAAAAGGAGGAAGAGGAAGAGATGGAGAGGAAGAGGAGGAAGAGGAAGAGGAAGAGATGGAGAGGAAGAGGAGAGGAAGAGGAGGAGGAGAAAAGGAAAGGAGGAGAGGAAGAGGAAAAGAGGAGGAGGAGGAGAAAAGGAAAGAAGAAGAGGAGAGGAGGAGAGGAGAAAAGGAAAGGAGAAGAGGAGGAGGAGGAAGAGGAAGAGGAGGAGGAGGAGGAGGAGAGGAGGAGGAGAGGAGGAGGAGGAAGGAAGAGGAGGAGAGGAAGAGGAGGAGAGGAAGAGGAGGAGAGGAAGAGGAGGAGAGGAAGAGGAAGAGAGGAGGAGGAGGAGAGGAGGAGGAGGAAGAGGAAGAGGAGGAGATGAGAGAGAGAGAGGAGGAGAGGAGGAGGAGGAGGAGGAGGAAGGAAGAGGAGGAGAGGAAGAGGAGGAAGGAAGAGGAGGAGGGAAGAGGAGGAGAGGAAGAGAGGAGAGAGGAAGAGGAGAGGAGAGGAGAGGAGAGGAGAGGAAGAGGAGGAGAGGAGGAAGAGGAAGAGGAAGAGGAGGAGATGGAAGAGGAAGAGGAAGAGAGGAAGAGGAGAGGAGGAGGAAGAGGAAGAGAGGAAGAGGAGGAAGAGAGGAAGAGGAAAAGGAGGAGAGGAAGAGGAAGAGGAGGAAAGGAGAGGAGAGAAGAGGGGAAGAGGAGGAGAGAAGAGGAAAAGGAGGAGGGAAGAGGAAAAGAGGAGAGGAAGAGGAAAGAGGAGAGGAAGAGGAAAAGAGGAGAGGAGGAGATGGAGAGGAAGAGGAGGAGAGGAAAGGAAAGGAGGAGAGGAAGAGGAAAAGGAGGAGAGAAGAGGAAAAGGAGGAGAGGAAGAGGAAAAGGAGGAGAGGAAGAGGAAAAGGAGGAGAGGAAGAGGAAAAGGAGGAGAGGAAGAGGAAAAGGAGAGAGGAAGAGGAAAAGGAGAGAGGAAGAGGAAAGGAGGAGAGGAAGAGGAAAAGGAGGAAGAGGAAGAGGAAGAGGAAGAGAGGAAGAGGAAAGGAGGAGAGGAAGAGGAAAAGGAGGAGAGAAGAGGAAAAGGAGGAGAGGAAGAGAAAAGGAGGAGAGGAGAGGAGAGGAAGAGGAGAGAGGAAGAGGAAAAGGAGGAGAGGAAGAGGAAAAGGAGGAGAGGAAGAGGAAGAGGAGGAGAGGAAGAGGAAAAGGAGGAGAGGAAGAGGAAAAGGAGGAAAAGGAGGAGAGGAAGAGGAGGGGGAGGAGAGGAAGGAGGAAAGGAGGAAAAGGAGAGAGGAAGAGGAAAAGGAAAAGGAGGAGAGGAGAAAGGAGAGGAGGAGATGGAGAGGAAGAGGAGAGAGGAGAGAGAAGAGAGAAGAGAGAAGAGAGAAGAGAGAGAGGAGGAGGAGGAGAGGAGAGGAAGAGGAGAGAGGAGAGAGGAGGAGGAGGAAGGAAGAGGAGGAGGAGAAAAGAAAGGAAGAAGAGGAGGAGGAGGAGAGGAGAGGAGAGGAGGAGAGGAGGAGGAGGAGAGGAGGAAGAGGAAGAGGAAGAGGAGGAGGAAGAGAGGATGAGATAAGAGGAAGAGGAGGAGGAAGAGGAGGAGGAAGAGGAGGAGAGGAAGAGGAGGAGAGGAAGAGGAGGAGAGAAGGAGAGGAGGAGGAAGAGGAGAGAGGAAGAGGAGGAGAGGAGGAAGAGGAAGAGGAAGAGGAAGAGGAGGAGATGAGAGAGAGAGAGAAGGAGAGAGAGAGAGAGGAGAAGAGGAGAGAGAGAGAGAAGAGGAGAAGAGAGAGAGAAGAGGAGAGAGAGGAGAGGAGAGAGGAGGAGGAGAAAGGAAAGGAGGAGAGGAAGAGGAAGAGGAGGAGAGGAGAGGAAGAGGAAAAGGAGAGAGGAAGAGGAAAAGGAGGAGGAGGAAGAGGAAAAGAGGAGAGGAAGAGGAAGAGAGGAGAGAGGAAGAGGAGGAGAGGAAGAGGAAAGGAGGAGAGGAAGAGGAAAAGGAGGAGAGGAAAGGAAAAGGAGGAGAGGAAGAGAAAAGGAGGAGAGGAGAGGAAAAGGAGGAGAGGAAGAGGAAAGGAGGAGAGGAAAGGAAAGGAGAAGAGAGAAGAGGAAAGGAGGAGAGGAAGAGAAAAGGAGGAGAGAAGAGGAAAAGGAGGAGAAGGAAGAGGAAAAGGAGGAGAGGAAGAGAAAAGGAGGAGAGGAAGAGGAAAAGGAGGAAGAGGAAGAGGAAGAGGAGGAGAGGAAGAGGAAAAGGAGGAGAGGAAGAGGAAAAGGAGGAGAGGAAGAGGAAGAGGAGGAGAGGAAGAGGAAAAGGAGGAGAGGAAGAGGAAAAGGAGGAGAGGAAGAGGAGGGGGAGGAGAGGAAGAGGAAAAGGAGGAAAAGGAGGAGAGGAAGAGGAAAAGGAAAAGGAGGAGATGGAGAGGAAGAGGAGGAGATGGAGAGGAAGAGGAAGAGATGGAAGAGAAGAGGAGAGGAGAGATGGAGAGAGAAGGAGAGAGATGGAGAGGAAGAGGAGGAGATGGAAGGAAGAGGAAGAGGAAGAGAGGAGAGGAGAGGAGGAGATGGAGAGAGAGAGGAGAGGAGAGGAAGAGGAAAGGAGGAGAGGAAGAGGAAGAGTGGAGAGGAAGAGGAGAGGAGAGAGGAAGAGGAAGAGGAGGAGATGGAGAGGAAGAGGAGGAGATGGAGAGGAAGAGGAGGAGATGGAGAGGAAGAGGAGGAGGAGAGGAAGAGGAAGAGGAGGAGATGGAGAGGAAGAGGAAGAGGAGGAGATGGAGAGGAAGAGGAAGAGATGGAGAGGAAGAGGAAGAGATGAGAGGAGAGGAAGAGGAGGAGATGGAGAGGAAGAGGAGGAGATGGAGAGGAAGAGGAAGAGATGGAGAGGAAGAGGAAGAGGAGGAGAGGGAGGGGAAGAGGAAGAGGAGGAGAGGAGGAGAGGAAGAGATGGAGAGGAAGAGGAAGAGAGGAGATGGAGAGGAAGAGGAAGAGGAAGAGGAAGAGATGGAGAGGAAGAGGAGGAGATGGAGAGGAAGAGGAGGAGGAGGAGGAGGAGGAGGAGGAAGAGGAAGAGGAGAGAGGAAGAGGAAGAGGAAGAGATGGAGAGGAAGAGGAAGAGAGAAGAGAGAGGAGAAGAGAGAAGAGAAGAGAGAGAGAAGAGAGGAGAGGAGGAGGAAGAGGAAGAGGAGAGGAGAGAGAAGGGGGAGGAGGAGAAAAGGAAAGGAAGAAGAGGAGGAGGAGGAGAAAAGGAAAGGAAGAAGAGGAGAGGAGGAGAAAAGGAAAGGAGGAGGAGGAGGAGGAAGAGGAAAAGAGGAGAGGAGGAGGAGGAGAAAAGGAAAGGAAGAAGAGGAGAGGAGGAGAAAAGGAAAGGAAGAGAGGAGGAGGAGGAGAAAAGGAAAGGAAGAAGAGGAGGAGGAGGAGAAAAGGAAAGGAAGAAGAGGAGGAGGAGGAGAAAAGGAAAGGAAGAAGAGGAGGAGGAGGAGAAAAGGAAAGGAAGAAGAGGAGGAGGAGGAGAAAAGGAAAGGAGGAGGAGGAGGAGAAAAGGAAAGGAGAAGAGGAGGAGGAGAAAAGGAAAGGAAGAAGAGGAGGAGGAGGAGAAAGGAAAGGAAGAAGAGGAGGAAGGAGGAGAAAAGGAAAGAAGAGAGGAGGAGGAGGAGAAAAGGAAGGAAGAAGAGGAGAGGAGAGGAGGAGAAAAGGAAAGGAAGAAGAGGAGGAGGAGAAAAAGGAAAGGAAGAAGAGGAGGAGGAAGAGGAAAAGGAGGAAGAGGAAGAGGAGGAGGAGAAAAGAAAGGAAGAAGAGAGGAGGAGAGGAGAAAAGGAAAGGAAGAAGAGGAGGAAGGAGGAGAAAAGGAAAGGAAGAAGAGGAGGAGGAGGAGAAAGGAAAGGAAGAGAGGAGGAGGAGAGAAAAGGAAAGGAAGAAGAGGAGGAGAGAAAAGGAAAGGAAGAAGAGAGGAGGAGGAGAGAAAAGGAAAGAAGAAGAGGAGGAGGAGGAGAAAGGAAAGGAAGAAGAGGAGGAGGAGAAAAGGAAAGGAGGAGGAGGAGGTGGAGGAGAAAAGGAAAGAAGAAGAGGAGGAGGAGGAGAAAGGAAAGGAGGAGGAGGAGGAGAAAAGAAAGGAAGAAGAGGAGGAGAGGAGAAAAGGAAAGGAGAAGAGAGGAGGAGGAGGAGAAAAGGAAAGAAGAAGAGGAGAGGAGAGAGAAGAGAGGAGAGAGAGAAGAGAGAGAGGAGG